TCCTTTTTTGTTTTCTGTCTGGTCTGGACTCGGCGAGGACCTGCTAGTAGGAGATACGGGGTTTTTCTCGTGTTCATGGGTTGGGATCCGATTCAATAAACACATTCTTGTGAAACCGGAGATATACACTAATAATGCTAATGTTGATTGAGTCTGGATTTCTATTTCAGTTTATCGCGTTGCCCGCTATCCATTCCATATTACATTTTTCTTTCATCTGAGATGAGCGTGCAATTGAAAACAATGAGATTTGTCATTTGAAGGAGTAGAGAAGAAAATGAAGGGCAGGATCATCTTATTAATCTCCAGCAAAGTAACGAATAAACAAACAGAAGGGTAGTACTAAGGCAGCTACTCTCCCTTCACACACAAACAGCGGCGGAAACATGCTGTTGAGATAGCGTGAGGAAAATTGACCACCTTACGAATTATTCTAGACTCCAGGTCAAAAAAGGCACTGTTGGCAGAACAGAGACCACGAAGAGACGGTAAAAAATAGGGTACTTTAAACCCCACCGGTTAGCAGACGCAGAGCACCAAGGATCAATGTCCAACTTCGTCCCGCACACAAAATCAAGCCCAAGCCTTCTATGCCACATCACACAATGTAACCCAAAGCAGGGGAAAGGCAACCCTAATAAACAGACACAAACAATGAGAGTTTCTCCAAAGTGGATGAGTAGTGTCCACTGTTTGCAATATTGTTGGAAAGCCAGTCAAGCCCTCGCACAGTCCTTCCACCACATGGTGGCATGTTAAATATGGAGGATACCTGCAAGGATAATTACAAGGGTAGTTATCATAAAGGGAGGGTGCGTATGTGCGGTGTGATGAGAGAGACAACTAAAATATCGGGGTTCGTTACAGTGGCAGTGGAGGGGGTTGAACACGCCGAACGGGCCGTGGGGTGTCAAAAAAAAAAAAACGAGTAAAAAGGCCAGCCAAAAAGGCCAAGTTATACAGTAATAATATTTTCCCGCATCATGGCCAATTTGAGGACAAGATCGTGCTATATTGCAAATAAAAAAAAGACGAGGGACAGCATCCCTTTAAAGGACATCCCTGCGCAACACCAAAGAAAAACAAAATTGGCTATTAACAAAAAGGATCCTAAAAAAAGGCAACAGGCAGAGAGTGCAACAGAGATCATCCACCTTTTCGCATGAGATATGGAAGATAGGTTCGAAAAAAATATTATAATACCTCATCAACATCGCGTGCAGCTATCCCGGCTTCAAGACACGGGTCAGCGATCAGTGACTAGCAACACACAAGATAAGTCCTTGTGGCGGGTTGGTTTTGGAAGTACGGCCCTCACACAAAGGTCGGATCTGAAAAAGACTTAATGCATCACAAACAAGATAAAACGACAAAGCCCCAACCTGCTTCAAACATTGCAACGGATAATGAAACACGTAGCAAGACAAGAATGTGTGACGTGTGTAGCCACATCTTGGGCAACTGCCTCATTCAACTCAGCAACAAACAATCACGGGCAAAGTATTTTACTCCGGAAATTTCGGCCAAGCATTTACCATTACACATTTCAAATACATGCAAAAACGGAATGAGAGACACGCATGTTGGTCAGGTCAAGCTCTAAGCACGTGCATCAAACCCACCAGCCCTCTTCCCCGTCCCAGCAACAAAACCCCTTGCCCCAAAAGGCCCCTACACCACCCCCGACCGCTTTCCACGGGCTGCTCCATGCTGTTCCCAACCCCCTACCCTCCGGTTCAATCCTCACGAATTTACACCAGGACGGTTAAGCATTTGTTGATTTGTAAACAGGGAACAGCTCCTATACGCACCAAAGAGCTCGCAACCGCAACCCACGGCCCCCGTCCTTGTCCTGCCCCAACATCCCCGCCTAGTATCCGTCATGTACGTTGTGGACTATCCACGAGGTCGTCGCCCATTGCAGAATCTAACAGCTAGATACCCTTAATTGCAAGCACATTAATAATAATAATCGGATGCAACATACGCCAGTCGTACTCCGTGTGCGGCATTCAAGGGAGTGGATTAAGGTAGCGAGGGTATGTAGGGCAGATGAGTCCACCATGGGTAGGGGGAAGGTGGTGCCGCATCTCGCACGAGGCTTGAGCTTGTAGAGGAGAATGGTCGTCGTACCAGCCGCATCGAGCCCCGCATCAGAATACGCATATCTTCTTGCAAAGAAGCCGATGAAAAGGCTGTGCGTGAAAACAGCCCCATCTGTGTTCACCTTCAAATTTTTCAAAAACCAACCCAAATTATCTATCAATCAGCAAGTCACAGAGATCTTAGAACAGACAATGATAAATTGGGCAATTCTAATGATTTAGGGAAAAACAAAGAGATCGGATGTCAAAAAGTCAGAGAAATTCGAGTCGGATATCAAAAAGCATATCACGATGCAGAGTCTGAGAAGAGGAAGAGGAAGGGTAACGTAAAGGTTACTGAGGAAGAGCGCGACCTTGAACCGCCCGTAGATGGACCCACCACTATTTCCACCCATTTTTTTCCACATCCCGAAGTCGGGGGGGTCGTTTTCTTTTTTTTTTAAAAACTTCACTGCGGCCCGTTTGGTGACACGATACTGAGGGGATAGGTCGCCGGCTCCCTGCGGGAAAAGAAAAAAAAAATTAGCTCGAGCGACCAGGATGAATAAAAAGATTAACCTCTCATTCTTATTACTTTTCAAATTCAAAAAGAAAAAAAAAAAAAATGAAAAGGTCGTTTATTTTCAAACCCACAATCCAATTATGAAATCCCTTCTCTCCCACTTCACACACTCGGAAACGCACCCTTCTTTATTATAATAGAGAGAGGCGCTTTCACATCTTCTAACCGGAAACGGTGGGATAGAGGGGAAAAGTTCTTTTTTTTTTTGGGTACTCCCGGGAAGATCCAGTAGTGGAGACGGGGTGGGGGCCTTGTACTTAAGAGATTTAGAAGAGCACGTGGCAAGAAACGACGGTGATCGGGGGTTCGAATCCCTCCTCGCCCACAACCGCGGCCAAAAAAGGGAAGGACCGCTGCCTATCCTTTTATCCTCGTTCTGATTTCGCTGGGGGGTTAAGCGAATAATCATCGATTCGGGTAGTCGGAACCCTGCCGTTTATCTACAGTATGGATATTTTGGAGGATGGCGGGGTTTCTTGTTTTTGCTGTTCTTTGGCTTCGAAAATGTGGATGTGGCACCATGTGGCCTTACACGTCCTTTTTTCTTCCTTGATTTCACTTTACCTGCTTTTTTGGCGTTATATAGGTTGTCTGGACATCATTAAATAAGGTTTTTAGTATTTGTTGGCCCAAGGCCCTATTCACCCAGAAAATAAATTTTTTGTTTTTTTACGCCCCCGTCATTCTCCTTCAGCCAGGCTGTTGTGCGGGTCCAGAAATTGTAGCATACACCGGAGGCACACTAAGAGCAAAGTTACAGCGTATTGAGTTAGCATAGCCCAAAAAAAAAATGCTGTTCCAGCGCGGCATTTAATGGATGTTTGCTCGCTGGTAAATGATGGCCTCTCGGAGCGTAATCGATGACGCACTCTGTGAGTGGAAACTCTGCTCGTAACATCCTGAGAATTCTTAATTGGAAGGTGGAAATTTAGCACCAGTAACAAATGATTTGATCCCGAGAACATACCGCCGAAGGAGTTTAAGACTGTTTTGACGGTGATTCTCAAACTAGCCGAAAACAGAACTGTTGATACGATGAGATGAGCACCACAATAGAAAACAACGGACACAGGGAACGGCGCTTAGTCTACTTTCTTAACGGTCACAATAACGGCGAGAACACCCTTTCATTCATGACTTAACGAGATTTTTTTTTTTTTTTTTTTTTTTTTTTTTTTTTTTTTTTTTTTTTTTTTTTTTTTTTTTTTTTTTTTTTTTTTTTTTTTTTTTTTTTTTTTTTTTTTTTTTTTTTTTTTTTTTTTTTTTTTTTTTTTTTTTTTTTTTTTTTTTTTTTTTTTTTTTTTTTTTTTTTTTTTTTTTTTTTTTTTTTTTTTTTTTTTTTTTTTTTTTTTTTTTTTTTTTTTTTTTTTTTTTTTTTTTTTTTTTTTTTTTTTTTTTTTTTTTTTTTTTTTTTTTTTTTTTTTTTTTTTTTTTTTTTTTTTTTTTTTTTTTTTTTTTTTTTTTTTTTTTTTTTTTTTTTTTTTTTTTTTTTTTTTTTTTTTTTTTTTTTTTTTTTTTTTTTTTTTTTTTTTTTTGGTGTGTTAAAAAGCTATATATCAGAGAAACGCAACATCTTACAAGTAATTATTAAGTAAATAGCCTAATTTCCCAAAAACACCAATCTTACCGTTAAGTTATAGTGTAAAAAGCCAATAAATCTGAGAACGCAACATCTTACCCTAATTTATTAAGTAAATAGCTTAATTTTCCAAAAACACCATATCTTGCCGGTAAGTTATAGGGTAAAAAGCCTATATCTAAGAACGCAACATCTTACAAGTAAGTTATTAAGTAAATAGCCTAATTTTCAAAAAACACCATATCTTACCGGTAAGTTTAGTGTAAAAGCCTATAATCTGAGAACGAAACATCTGACCATAATTTATTAAGTGAATAGCCTAATTTTCCAAAAACATAATCTTGCCGGTAAGTTATAGTGTAAAAAGCTATATATCAGAGAAGCAACATCTTACAAGTAATTTATTAAGAAATAGCCTAATTTTCAAAAACACCATATCTTTACCGGTAAGTTATAGTGTAAAAAGCCTATATATCTGAGAACGCAACATCTTACCCTAATTTATTAAGTAATAGCTAATTTTCCAAAAACAATCTTGCCGGTAAGTATAGGTTAAAAAGCCTATATATCGAGAACGCAACATCTTACCCAGTAATTTATTAAGTAAATAGCCTAATTTTCAAAAAACACCATATCTTACCGGTAAGTTATAGTGTAAAAAGCCAATATATCTGAGCACGAAACTGACCCTTAATTTATTAAGTGAATAGCCTAATTTTCCAAAAACATCATATCTTGCCGGTAAGTTATAGTGTAAAAAGCCTATATATCAGAGAACGCAACATCTTACAAGTAATTTATTAAGTAAATAGCCTAATTTCCCAAAAACACCATATCTTACCGGTAAGTTATAGTGTAAAAAGCCTATAAATCTGAGAACGCAACATCTTACCCTTAATTTATGAGTAAATAGCCTAATTTTCCAAAAACACCATATCTTGCGGTATGTTATAGTAGTAAAAAGCCTATATATCGAGAACGCAACATCTTACCCGTAATTATTAAGTAAATAGCCTAATTTTCAAAAACATCATCTATAAGGTAAGTTATAGTGTAAAAGCCTAAATCTGAGAACGCAACAAATTACCCATAATTTATTAAGTAAATAGCCTAATTTTCCAAAAACACCATATCTTGCCGGTAAGTTATAGTGTAAAAAGCCATATATCAGAGAACGCAACATCTTACAAGTAATTTATTAAGTAAATAGCCTAATTTCCAAAAAACAATATCTTACCGGTAAGTTATAGTGTAAAAAGCCCATAATCTGAGAACGCAAAACATCTTACCCTTAATTTATTTAAGTAAATAGCTAATTTTCCAAAACACCATGTCTTGCCGGTAAGTTATGTAAAAAGCTCCTATATCGAGAACGCAACATCTCCAGTAATTATTAAGTAAATAGCCTAATTTCCAAAAACACCATATCTTACCGGTAAGTTATAGTGTAAAAGCCAATAAATCTGAGAACGCAACATCTTACCATAATTTATTTAGTAAATAGCCTAATTTTCCAAAACACCATATCTTGCCGGTAAGTTATAGTGTAAAAGCCTATATCAGAGAACGCAACATCTTACAAGTAATTTATTAAGTAAATAGCCTAATTTCCCAAAAACACCATATCTTACCGGTAAGTTATAGTGTAAAAACCAATAAATCTGAGAACGCAACATCTTACCCTTATTTATTAAGTAAAGCTTATTTTCCAAAAACACCATGTCTTGCCGGTATGTTATAGTGTAAAAAGCCTATATATCGAGAACGCAACATCTTACAAGTAATTTATTAAGTAATATAGCCTAATTTTCCCAAAAACACCATATCTTACCGGTAAAGTTATGTGTAAAAAGCCAAAATCTGAGAACGCAACATCTTACCATAATTTATTAGAATAGCCTAATTTTCCCAAAACACCATATCTTGCCGGTAAGTTATAGGGTAAAAAGCCTATATATCAGAGAACGCAACATCTTACAAGTAATTTATTAAGTAAATAGCCTAATTTCCCAAAACACCATATCTAACGGTAAGTTATAGTGTAAAAAGCCTATAATCTGAGAACGCAACATCTTACCCTATAATTATTAAGTAATAGCCTAATTTTTCCAAAAAAACACCATATCTTGCCCGTAAGTTATAGTGTAAAAAGCCTATATATCAAGAACGCAACATCTTACCGTAATTATTAAGTAAATAGCCTAATTTTCCAAAAACCATATCTTACCGGTAAGTTATAGTGTAAAAAGCCATATAATCTTAGAACGCAACATCTTACCGTAATTTATTAAATAGCCTAATTTTCAAAACACCATATCTTACCGGTATGTATAGTGTAAAAAGCCTATATCAAGAACGCAACATCTTACAGTAAGTTATTAAGTAAATAGCCTAATTTCCAAAAACACCATATCTTACCGGTAAGTTTAGTGTAAAAAGCCTATATATCTGAGAACGCAACATCTTACCCGTAATTTATTAAGTAAATAGCCTAATTTTCCAAAAACACCATATCTTACCGGTAAGTATAGTGTAAAAAGCCTATATATCTGAGAACGCAACACAACATCTAACCCATAATTTATTAAGTAAATAGATAATTTTCCAAAAACACCATATCTTGCCGGTAAGTTATAGTGTAAAAAGCCTATATATCAGAGAACGCAACATCTTACAAGTAATTTATTAAGTAAATAGCCTAATTTCCCAAACACACCATATCTTACCGGTAAGTTATAGTGTAAAAAGCCAATAAATCTGAGAACGCAACATCTTACCCTAATTATTATGTAAATAGCCTAATTTTCCAAAAACACCATATCTGCCGGTAAGTTATAGTGTAAAAAAGCCATATATCGAGAACGCAACATCTTACCCATAATTTATTAAGTAAATAGCCTAATTTCCCAAAAACACCATATCTCTTACCGGTAAGTTATAGTGTAAAAAGCCTATATATCTGAGAACGCAACATACCCTTAATTTATTAAGTGAATAGCCTAATTTTCCAAAAACACCATATCTTACCGGTAAGTTATAGTGTAAAAAGCCTATATATCAGAGAACGCAAAATCTACAGTAATTTATTAAGTAAATAGCTCAAAAACACCCATATCTTAACGGTAAGTTATAGTGTAAAAAGCCATATATATCTGAGAACGCAACATCTTACCCTAATTTATTATTGAATAGCCTAATTTTCTAAAAACACCATATCTTACCGGTAAGTTATAGTGTAAAAAGCCTATATATCA